AATTTGAAATGACAATAAAAGGTTGGGGGGTTTTAGGTACTTAATCCTTGATTTCTTTTTATTTATTCATCAAATGACTAGAAATACACAAGGATACAGAGGGAGAGAAGATGACTGTGTGAAAATCATGTTCCTTTACACACACACACACACACACACACACATATAAAACCAACTGTGATAAATCAAAGCCATGTTAAAATCCAATAAATAGTATGTACATGCAAGAAGAAGAAATAATAACGAATAAAGCAAGTAAACAAAAATGATAGCATAAATCAATTAGAATGAAAGACTCCAAATTAAAATAAAATTAGGTCGATAATGCTTAATATCTATTGCATATGGCATAAGATAATGGTGGGGTGGTGTTAGCAAAATGCAAGTGAAAAATGTATTTCATTGGAGTGAGTTATTATATATGTGAGGTTTTTATTTGGAAATTGATATTACATGTACCCCTTTTTGGCAAACCATGCGAATGAGGGCATCTGCCATGACAAACTAGTTATGTTTGTCATGTTCGAATCGTGTAATACCTATTATCTTAATGGATCGTGTTGTGTCACACTCATTATTTTAAAGGATAAAATGACCTGGCCCGTTAAGAGAAATATTTTTTTTCTTTCTAAAATTTGCAAATGTTAGATTGCCACGTAAATATTAATTCAAAACATAAAAACACAATTGTCATTAAGTGTTATATATATCTACATACTCCATAATAAGAACCTAATAAAAAGGTATCTATACACTACTAGTCTACTACAAAATATCAAATATGCAAGGATATGCAAAATGAAGGAGTATTTCTTTTCAAGGTTGTGAAACCTTTCTAAGAAGTTAAAACCTTCACAATGAAACTCAAAGATTGCATGTTATTCTTTTTACAAAATCCTTCTAGTTTCATTGATCATTATGGAGAAATTGTATTGGAACTTTGGCTTGATCTATTGTCTTCAAGAGTTATATTGATGATGTTTTCTGTAAGGCTTTCCACATCAGAACTCTCTTCCACATAAACCAAGTATAGAAAAAGCAAACATTATAAACCATTCAAATTATGAAAAGTTTACCAAACATAATTATAAAAAGGAATAAAACAATAATACTGTAACATCCCACATCGCCCAGGGGACTGATCCTTAAATGTATATTCCCATCCCTACCTAGCACGAGGCCTTTTGGGAGCTCACTGGCTTCGGGTTCCATAGGAACTCCGAAGTTAAGCGAGAAGGGGGCTAGAGCAATCCCATGATGGGTGACCCACTGGAAAGTTGCTCGTGAGTTCCCAAAAACAAAACCGTGAGGGAATGGTAAGCCCAAAGCGGACAATATCGTGCTACGGTAGTGGAGCGGGCCCGGGAAGTGGTCCCACCCGGGTCGGGATGTGACAAATACTATACCATATAAAAATATCTTACCTCATTTTCCAAATAGCTAATCTCGTGTGCACAACAAAACTTGAAATGTTTTTGACAACAATAAACTACGTTACCAATCTAGTCTACCCCCAATACTAAATGCAAAATTTGACGCAATAGTTGAATGGAAATTGTTAACACATCTCCTGCTAACTGAGAAAGTATTAGATAATGAAAACTCTCGATTTGTCACTAAGAAAGAACATCTATGTCTAATTTTCTAACTATTCTTTTATCCTCCAAATACTTCTGCAATTCATTTTTTTTTTCAATCGAACTTGAACCATTGTAATTATTATCAAAATTCTACATTATAAAAAATAAAAAGAAAATATAATAAGAATCATGCATCATGCCAATTTCAAATGTAATATCAACACTTTTTACAATACTAGCTATATGTATAAAGTAAAACAAAAACAAACTTAGGTTACCTGAAAGGGAGATTTTGATATAGATGCCTCAAAATTGAATTTTTTTAATCAAACATCTATGACTTTTAAACTTTTAATCAAACATTCTTCTACTAATTTTTAATTAAAAATTATGATTTTTATTGTATTTAATTAACCAACTAGTTCAGAAAATAATATCACAAATATTCTAAAATTACCACAAACATACTATCTTATCTTATCATAATTCGTTCAAAGTGAATTTTTCTTATTCAAATAATTTGTTGTTTTAAATTCTAAAAACACATAAACATCCTATTAACATACAATTACAAAATATAACATGCACATATATTAAATATAACGTACCAATCATTTGGTATGTTATTGGTACGTTATATAAATTTAATCTGGGTACGTATTAGTATTTTGGTACGTTATAAAATATTTCTTTTGGTACGTTATGCAATTCTTTATTTAGTACGTACCAAGTTATTAGTACGTTGGATTATTCTTATTTTGGTATGTACAAAACTTATGGTACGTTATGTGTAAGTTGTGTAACCCAAAAAAAAAAAAAAGATAACTTTTCACATTAAAACATTGCACTAAAAAATATTTTGTCAACTCTTAATAATTAATTATTGGAATAAGGACTCATTTTAAATAAAAATGTGAAAAGTAGTTGTTAAAAAATTCAAATTTATTTTCGGTTGCATGAAATTAGGTAGTCTAGTCTACATCTCAATTTTAATTATAAACGAACTCTTGTTTTTTTCTAATCTATATAAAATGTTGAGTTGGAAATTGGAAAAACTATATTTCATCCAATTAATCTTGAACCCCAGTAGATATAATTGAATCCTTAAATTGAGGATGGGATGAGATTCCATAAAAATAACAATAAATTAATGAATATTATTGAGTGCATTTTTTTTACATAGAAATGGATTTAAAAAAATTTATAAAATACTTAAATTAAGAATATACCTAGAATATAAGTTTAATTAAAAGTAAAAGCACTTTAATCAAAAGTTGAAAAGTAACAGATGTTTAATTTAGAAAAATCTAAAATGAGGCATCTAATTTTAATTTATCCTACCTGAAATAGAACATCTTCACCTTTTGTTTGATGATTAGGCACCGAGTACACTGGAGTATTTGAATTATCAAGACGAGAAATACTAAATTAATACTTTTAGAGGTATAAAATCCTACTAGTGTTAAGTATCGTGTTAACAAGTCGTATAAAAAATTGTTATCCCGTATGGTGGCTCCGTCCCTGTTTGAGAGAACTAAAATCACACATGAAGGGTGTTTTTCAATAAAATCACTTTCTTTCTTTTTATTATCTTTTATGTTTTGGTCGAAACAATAAAATCACTTTCAAACCTTAAATATTTTCTAGGGAAAAGTCAAGACCCCGAGTCTTAGAAGTGACTATCAAATTGATAACTTGACAAAAAAAGCTCCCACGAAAAAGGGGTTGGCAGAAAACCCGGGGGCTATTGCGGTCAAGTTTGAAGTTGAAAAGCCAAATGGCCTAAAAACACGAAAGCAATAATATTGGAAAAAATGCAGCAAGTGCCTAACTTTCCAGCTGAGCCATTCGTCAGGGAAGTAGCAGCATCCTTATAGAAGGCTCACACTACATTGGAAATTTAGAATCGACGACTTGCAAACCAACATTTGTTTAATCACATTCAAGTCTCTCCTTTGAAAGAGTGGCATGAAATAATAAACGTGCTTCTTCAAGTCATCACCCACTTCATTCTCAATTACTCAAACTGATCTTCATAAGTTTGATTAATTTTTGCTCAAGTATCACCTAAACTTGTAAGCATATACAATAATACCGTAACTTTCCTTTTTTATTTTTTTACCATCTGGACACTCTCTACTATGTTTTTTTTTTTTTTTTTTTTTGGGAATCTATCACTTACGTTATTTTCCATTTATTTTGCCGTTAAAACAAAATTGGTGGTTTGTACAACCCTAGTCCATCAATTCCCCCTATAAGAGTTTGAAAAATTAATATATAAATAAATTAAGGTGAACCACGCATCCACTTGCTGACCTAGAAAACAAATCTTGAAAGGTTACTGTAAATGAAAGACAAAATTTTTGCATAATTTTGACTTCTATTCTTTAACAACCCTTGCAAAATCAAACTCGAAACCAACTTCTCCCTTTCTCTTCATGATTTGACTCCAACAACACTACTAAAAAATGCCTTTTGCCTTCGTACAAATTGATTCCAGCAAGCCCTAGGAAGTGAATTGACAAAAATATCCCTCCACATGAGAGGCACATGACATGTTTTAATGGAAAATTGGATGGAAAATAACATAGGTGATAAATTTTAACAGTTAAGAGAGTCCATGTGGTAAAAATTAAAAATTAAAAGTTCAGTTCGAATTGACACACATGCTTGCAAGTTCAGGTGATACTTGTGCAAAATCCCCTTAATTTTTTCTTTAATTAATTACCTAATTTTTGGCACTTAAAAGTCCAATTTTGGCTTCAAGCCGCCTTTGTAACGCACAATTGGACTTAGTCTATAACCTAACTAATTAATGATGATTCATGTTTGTACGCTACGATCAGATTTCCTTAATACTCTAGTTTACCGTTCTTATTTATTAGTTATAAAAAAAACTGTAATATTCATTAAAGGAAGAATTTTTTTTTTAAACATTAAGCCCAAAATTTAAAATAAATTTGCAGCAATCTTTATAGGAAATAAAGTTGATAACTTTTTTAGTTAAAATCTTCTAGATGGACTACATGTGTGTTATCTTAAGCAGACTGAGATTGGAAGTAAATTTAAAAAAAATTAAGATGAACATGAATTAATAATAAAATATAACTATTTGGACACACAAAATTAACACGGTTGTTGGCATGTACACTCTTTAATAGAGCCGGGCTTCACTTGTATTAGAGCATGTGTCAGCAAATGTTAATTCTGTGTTTGAATAAAATTGTCACAACATTTATAATATGATAATAAAATCATAATCATAATTAATTCAAAAGGCTGGCTTAGGTGCTACAAATTCAGTGGTCAACTTTATATTTGATTCCTCCTACTATCCTTTTCCGGCCAAGAAGAAAAGCAAACAAATTCAACAGTATTAGAACTTTCAAACTTTATTATGTATATTAGTCAATATATATGATGCTGTTGGCTGTGATGTAGAGTTTAGAATGCTTCATTTTTCTCTCTGAAAACAGTTATCTAGCCATGCTGCCCAGAAATGCTATGCCTTTGAAGCTGTTAATGGCGTTTATGTATGTAAGCGCAATCGTCAATCGTGTAGAAGGCTCGTACTCAGGTACAAACACTGGTACTTACCATGACCAGATGAGGCGCATGGCTTTGATGAAGGCATCGCATACCATCCGCAATAAGGCCTCAACAACCCAAAGCTATTCAACACCAACTCTATATGTATGTTTACATATATATTTTGTTCTTTTATTTTTGGTTTTAATTAGTTTCAGTTTTTTTCCAAATGATCGTTATATGATTTGTTCATATATATGGATTCAGGCATCCGCAGAATCACGTGTACATCACGTGACTGAGTATGGTGCTGACCCAACCGGAAGATCAGACAGCACAGAGGCACTACAGCAAGCTATTTTACATGCCTTTGGATCTCCTCTTGATGGTCACTTGATCAAGGGTGTTGCTGACCTTGGAGGCACTCAAGTTCACCTTGATGGAGGGACATACAAGATCAGCCGTCCGCTGCTCTTACCAGATACCGGCGGTGGAAACTTTATGGTACACTTCCTAACATTTTTCTTAACTAGAACAACCTGATGGTCGGAATGCATTATGCTTAGATGGGTTAGAGCCGTTGGTCAAGGCACACTATTCGTTACCTTGCAATCAAATTTGAATATCATTCTCTGTAGATTTAGTAGTTATAGAATATCTTATTACAATTATTCTAAAGTTTAGTAGTACAATTACTAAGAATAATAAGAATAGAGTATATAGAACATTTTATATTTCATTTGTAAGTTTTTTTTCATAGGCTCAGGGTTTGTTACGGTGTAACAGATTCATGGTGGATCTCTTCATGCATCCGATGATTTCCCAACCGATCGCCATCTTATCGAGCTACGGTCACCGTCGACTTCTCTTGTGTACGAAGATATCACGCTCAAGGATCTCATGATAAACTCAAATTTCAGAGGTGGTGGAATTTCGATTATCAATTCACTAAGGACTACCATTGACAATTGTTACATTTCACATTTCACAAGTGATGGTATATTAATTCACGGTGGCCATGAAACCTATGTTAGAAACTCCTTTATTGGTCAGCACATCAATATCGGAGGCGATCACCGTGAAAAGGATTTTTCCGGCATCGGAATTAACATCATAGGAAACGATAACGCAATCACCGATGTGGTTATTTTCTCAGCATCAATTGGTATAATGGTACAAGGGCAAGCCAACGTGTTCACCGGAGTACATTGTTACAACAAGGCCACTGGATGGGGTGGGACTGGAATTTACATTCGGGCACCTGGGTTGACCCAAACTCGAATCCTAAATTCCTATTTTGATTTCACGGGAGTCGTGGCTGAGGACCCGGTCGAACTCCATATATCCGGGTCATTCTTCCTTGGCAATGCCTTTATTTCGATCAAATCATTGAAGGGTGTGGCATGTGGCATCACCATCGTTGATAATATGTTTTCAGGTGATTATACCGGTGTCCCAATAGTCCATCTAGATCAATCCAACGGTCGATATTTTACTACTATTGATCAAATTATGGTTGATCGAAATGTCGTGCGGGGTATGGTTCATAAATCAACGGTTGCCAAGGGGTCAGTTTGGAGTAATGGGACTAGATGGACCGTTGATTTCTCACACGTTCTCCTTTTCCCTAATCTCATACAAAATGTGCAGTACACATTGCAGGCAAGTGAGTCATTTCCAAAACATGTCCTACGAAATGTGTCGAGGAATTGTGTCACAGTAGAATCAGACGTACCCGTTTCTGCCACGTTGCATGTGTTAGTGGATCAGAGCATGATGGGTTACGTATAATTTTAAGTGTGATTAAAATACATGTACATCAAAACACATACATGATACAATGAAGTTAGTTTCTTCTGTTTTTTTTTACTAATGAAAGCATCTGTTCATTGGAAAATTAGTTGGTGTAAGGTTAATAAATCGTGGACTAGTTTTGCCAGAAGTCTAATTGGACTTGGACTCTAACAATTAAGTAGAGCTTCAAATATCTTCGTTAATTTCAAATTTGTAACGTGTTTCAAAGTTGTTAGTCCCAAAGGGAAGATGCCAGTGCTGCGTGTTCAGCAAAATCGATTGAACTTCTAGCACTTTTGACTGATGTTGTTCAATGACGTATAAGTTTGCACTACTAAACTTGCTTGACCATAATTACCCATTTATTCAGCATATAGGGTTCAAGGGAGGTTTTGGGACTCATGATTACCCATTACCCATATAATCAAGAAATCCCACCTTTGATTTGCTCCTATATAAATCATGAAGAAAATCATATAAAGGATCCATCCCTTAAATGTGGATACCAGCCTCTTGCTACATATTCACATGTGTGAATATGCTTTTTAGTTAAAAATGATATTAAAAAAAAATGACATAGCTTACTGAAACGGTTTTAAGATGTGTTTGGTGTAATTTTGTGTGAAATAAACTCAAAAAATGAAAAAACGTTGCAAACAATATTTTACATAAATTTTGCATCAAATTGATGTTCCAGTATTTTTCTAGAATAAAATTTAAAATAATATCATACATACTACCACAATCACCACTTTCTCCACCGCTATATCACTCGTGCCACCATGACCACCACCATTTCCATTGTCTCACCATCACCACCACAATTGCCACTATCACCATCTTTAACACCATCTCCTCCCATTACCATCATAGCAGCCACCACATCATTCACTAGGGGTGGGCACGGTTTGGTTTGGTGCGGTTTTGAGTGAAACCACAACCGAAACCAAAACATTTGGCGGTGCGGTTTTGAAGTCAAAATCGAAATGAAACCTAACCGTTTTCAGTTTGGTTTTTGAGAAAAAAAAATGTACAATTTAAAATTTACACCTATCTATGCATAAGACGGTCTTATTTTCCAAACAATACATGTTTACACCTATCTAATGCAAGTGTTAATTTATGTTGAAAATTAATAAAATAGGATCATCTGCATGTTTTCACTTGGTCACAAAGGAGATTTGTATTTTGCAGCAGAGACTGATTAGCATAATAAAGCCTACACTGAACATGTAAATGAGGAGGATGGGAGAATTGTTTATATGTCAACACACTATATTTGCTTGTAACAGTTGACATATATTCCAACTCCACACACACACACACACACACCTGTTTTTGCACCTTATGGTTATCAAATCTAAGAACATGGTTTGTTATGGAGAAGCTGGGGTTGATTTTGTTAATCTACTATTTAGTTTCCTAAAAAAATGCAAGATAGCTCTTCATCTTCGAAGGGGTGCATTGATAAGTGATAATTGTTGAATAGAATAGGGGTGAAAATGAATGACATTCTAGTGTGGTTAAATCCAATACTAAATGTATGGACTCTAACAAACAACCATATAAAAGATGACATTTAATTTGAGGTGCGGTTTCGGTTTTGGTGCGGTTTTCAAAAGCCAAAACCGAAACCAAACAGTTTCTTACTTTGCGATTCATTTTCAAAACTGCAACCGTTTCAAAACTGCAAAACCGAACCGTTTGATGCGGTTCAATTTGATTCTATGTTTCGGTTTTGGTTTTCGGTTTCAAGTGCCCACCCCTATCCTTCACTGCCATCATTTCTGTTACAATGGCCACCGCCACCACCTCGTCTCACCATTGATGCTGCCACCGTCACCTCCTCACCATCAACGCCACCATCAATATCACCACCTCCACCACCTCATCATTGCAGCCGCCACCTCACCACCACTATCACCACTATTACCACCGTCACCTCCCATCACCCTCACCATGCATGGTTGCCAACATCTCCACCATCTCTGCCACTATCATCCCAGCCACCTTTAAGCCACCATTTCCAAAATCATCCTTCAAAATTCAACCACCATTTGCCACCATCGTCATCGTCGCTGCCATCACCTCCACCACACTCCTTCCATCATTGCCCTTCTACCCCATTATTATTAGCAATTAATGTAAGGATGATATTTTATATGTATATCTTGAAGAGAGTAGAATGCGTTTAGGAACGTGGAATATAGGAACCTTAACGGAAAAATCTATGGAAGCAGTGGAAGTTATGGTGAGGAGAGAGATAAGTATTATGTACCTGCAAAAAACTAAGTGGGTTGGTCTTAAAGCAAAGGATCTAGAAAACTCAAGTTTTAAACTTTGGTATTCGGGTACAAATAGAACGAGAAATGGTGTTGGCATCATCGTGGACAAGACCTTGACACAAGATGTTGTAGATGTCAAGAGGGTAGGAGATAGAATTATGGCAATCAAGATTGTAAGAGGACAAGAACTCATCAATGTGATTAGTGCGTACACACCTCAAGTAGGGTTGGATACAAGTTTGAAGGAGAAATTTTAGGAAGATCTTGGAGACTTGGTGCAAGGAATTGCTCAGACGGAGAAGGTATTTATAGGAGGAGATTTAAATGGACACGTGGGCAAGGAGACAGGCAACTATGGAGGTTTTCATGGTGGCCATGGTTTTGGGGAAAGAAATGAGGATAAGGAAGCCATCTTGGATTTTGCAATGGCATATGATCTCTTCTTAACCAACATCTTCTTTAAGAAGAGAGAAGAACATGTGATCACCTACAAGAGTGGGTCGTCAAAAACACAAATAGAGTTTCTTCTAATGAGGAAGAGGGGTTGTATAACTTGTAAGGATTGCCAAGTTATACCAGGGGAGAGCTTGGCTAATCAACATCGCTTGTCGGTGATGGATGTTCATATCAAAAGACAGAGAAAAAAGAATAAGACCTTGAAATGCCCAAGGATTAGATGGTGGAATCTAAAAGGAGAAAAACAAGTCATTTTCAAAGAGAAAGTAATCACCCAATGCGTGAGGGATAGAGAGGGGGAAGCTAGCCAAATGTGGGATTCCATGGCTAGTTGTATCCGAAAAGTAGCAAAAGAGGTATTAGGAGAGTTCAAGGGCTTTGCTCCACACCAAAAGGAATCTTGGTGGTGGAATGAGGAGGTACAAAGGTTAATGCTAAGAAGGAATGTTCTAAAGCCTTATACAAGGATATGACCGATGAAAATGGTGAAAGGTATAGAATAGCGAAGCATGAGGCGAAGAAAGCTATGAGAGAAGCTAAGCTAGTGGCTTATGATGATATGTATAAGCAACTAGATACCAAGGAAGGAGAGTTGGATATCTATAAACTAGCTAGAGTAAGGGAAAAGAAGACAAAGGACCTAAACCAAGTGAGGTGCATCAAGGATGAGAATGGAAAGGTTCTTGCTACAAAAAATGCTGTCAAAGACAGATGGAGAGGTTATTTTCATTATCTTTTCAATGAAGGATGTGAAAGGAGTACTTCTTTGGGGGAATTGAGTAACTCAGAAGAGTATAGAAACTAATTATTTTACTGCCGAATTAGGAAGGAAGAAGTGGTTGTGGCTTTGAAAAAGATGAAGCATAGAAAAGCAGTGGGCCTAGATAATATACTGATCAAAGTGTGGAAAGTCTTGGGAGAGACGAGTATAGCATAGCTCACATAACTTTTCAATAGGATTTTGAAAATGAAGAAGTTGTCAAATGAGTGGCGAAAGAGCACATTGGTGCCTATCTACAAGAATAAGGGCGATGTACAAAATTGCATGAATTATAGTGGTATTAAGCTAATGAGTCACACAATGAAGTTTTGTGAGAGAGTCATTGAGCATAGACTGAGGCAAGAGACACGAGTCTCAGACAACCAATTCGGGTTCATGCCAGGGCACTCAACCATGGAGGCAATCTATCTCTTACGAAGATTGATGGAAAGATATAGAGATATGAAAAATGATTTACACATGGTCTTTATAAATTTGAAAAAAGTGTATGATAGGGTCCCAAGAGACATTCTTTGGAGGATTTTAGATAAGAAAGGAGTACGAATAACATATATCCAAGCTATAAAGGATATGTACGATGGAGCAAAGATTGCCGTAAGAACTCATGAAGGACAAACTGAAAGCTTCCCCATAACTGTAAGGTTACATCAAGGCTCTTGGTAATGGATGAGTTAACGGGACATATTCAAGATGATAATCCTTGGTGTATGCTTTTTGTAGACGATATAGTGTTGATAGATGAAACTCAGGAAGGGGTAAATGCGAAGCTTAACCTTTGGAGAGAAGTGTTGGAATCTAAAGGTCTTCGCCTTAGTCGATCAAAGATAGAATATATGGAGTGCAAGTTCAGTGCAAATGGAGGCCCAAATGAGTTAGGGGTGAGGATCGAAGACCAAGAAATACCAAAGAGTGATTGTTTTTGATACCTAGGATCTATTTTGCAGAAGAACGGAGAATTAGATGGAGACCTCAACCATAGAATACAAGCTGGATGGATGAAGTGGAAGAGTGCAGTCGGCATGTTGTGTGACCGTCGTATGCCACTGAAGCTCAAGGGAAAATTTTATAGGACAGCAATAAGGCCAGCAATGCTATATGACATGAAATGTTGGGCGGTGAAACATCAACACGTACATGAAATGAGTGTAGCAGAGATGAGTATGCTTTGTTGGATGTGTGGGCACACGAGGAAGGATAAGATTAGGAATGAGGATATCCGAGGTAAAGTAGTAGTAGCCAAAATTGAAGGAAAGATGAGAAAAAAATCAGTTACAGTTGTTTGGACATGTGCAACGAAGGCATACTGACGCTCCGATTAGAAGATGCGACTATGGGACAGAGGTCCAAGGCTGAAGGGGTAGAGAAAGACCTATGAAGACTTTGGAAAAGACTTTAAGAAAAGACGAGTATTTGGATTTAACGGAAGACATGACACAGAACTGAGCGCAATGGCATTCTAGGGTTCATATAGCCGACCCCACTTAGCGAGAAAAGACTTTGTTGTTGTTATTGTTGTTGAACCTCTTTTATCTATTATATAGTCATGGTTTTGTATTAAATTGTTGGATTTAATGTGTTTTT